CTCCTTTTTTTTTTTTCTGGATACTAAGCCGAGGTGTGAGCTGCAACCCCATCCATCTAAAAGAAAACAAAGTACAGATTCTGCTTACTAGAAAAGCATCAAAACACAAAGTTGATGAATACTGAGGGCCCAGCTTTTGCTTATACTCATGAGTTATATGCCAAGAGCCATCCCAAGCAAAGTTAATAATCTAGAATATTTTCATGGAAGGGATATAACGCAACACTTATAGCAAAAAGAAATGGTTCTATAACTCCATCAAACAAACCCTGGTTGTAAGAAAACAGGAAACATACTGATGCTACTAGCCATTTTGAAAACATCACACATAAAAGTAATGCGAGAGAGAGTCATTAAAAAAAAAAAGTGATACAAGAGCCAAGTTCTCATTCTTTTTACTCAATCAAGTGAACACGTTGTCTGCATATGCAAATAGAGAGATGCGCATCATGACCATTTATTGTAAGTCATGACTTTAGATTCAACTTGGCCTGTGTACGACTCAAACTATGTGGCCTGCTAAAGTTATCCAATGAAAAATCTGTTTAGTTCGCTAAATATCCCTAGCTACACCCATGTCCCTGGAACTCGGTCCTTGAGTTTAACTCCTCCAATGAACACAAATTATGCTAAAACTAAGCAAATATACCAATTGGCATGTATCATTTGTTGTGATGTCTGGCATATTTATAATCAATCAACATATAAAAACTAATAGCCTTATCAAAAAAAAAAAAACAGTTAAAATATAAAATTATAAAGTTAAAGTGCACGAAACCCTTTAGCTAGAAGAAAACTGACAACGAGAATGTACACAAGAGACTCAAAGGCATCTCAGTTATCACCATGCTATCCCAATACCCAATCTCGGATCGAAAATAGAAGACTTGGATGAATCCAAAATCCGAAGGAGGTTCGTGGCCAAAGGTAAAGATGCTAGAGTATGAGTTATTTTGAAATATACCAATTGTACTTAAAATGACGCTAATGCTAAGAAGGAATCCCCAAGCGTTTCTAGATATATTAGTGAAAATAATCGACCCAATACACCTAGTCAATTGGAATTGAAAAAACTCTGTCGTTATTGTACGAACTTATAAAATATACCCTAGCAATTATAAAAAGAAGACTATCAAAGTATTAAAGAAAAATGCGTATCAGAAAGTACATTCAATACCATGAATAGGAGGCATCACTCCGTCTCTCTCTCTAAGATGTATCTAGGGCCATAAAAGCTCGAAGTGTCAAAACTTGAAGCATTTAATTCAACATGAACTAATTGGAAATTGCCCCAAAAGGTGGCGGCAGAAGAAAAGTATTGCTAGTCCAAAAGTGCATGATCCTAACATAACTTTACATTAATCAGTAAAGAGTT